GCTGGAGAGATGGCTCAGCAGTTAAGAGCACTGGCTGCTCTTGTAGAGGACCTGGGCTCGATTCCCAAAACCCACATGGAGGCTAACAACTGTTTGTAACTCCAGTTCCAGGGGATCCAATGCCCTCTTCTGAACTCTGCTGGCCTTGCACAACACAGGTGCAAACATATAGGCAATACACTCATACATATAAAAATAATTAAAAAAAAATAAAAAAAAGAATCGGCAAATTAGAGATAATATTATCTACTGAACAGTCTCTCTCCAAGAAGACGGCCTTAAATTTCTCAGACTGGGTGTACACAGTCAACTTCTGCTTGCTGATAAACCTGGATGTGTCACATGTCCACTTGGTCAGGACACTCTCACTGCAATACCCTCTGATGCTCACAAGTTTCTACTTATATTCTTCCTGCAGCTGTTTTAAGAAGAAGGTGGGACACAGGATGGCACCACGTTCCCTGGGAATCACTAGTCTCAAGCATCTATCTAGGAGTTAGCCACAGCTTCAAGAACCCCTTTAAAGGAGTGGCTGGCAAAGGTGGTCAACCAGGGAAGAGGAGCCCACGAAGGGCTATTCAAAGAAAGGCAAGTGGAGGGACCAGGACTTGGAGAACACCGTGAGGACAGAAATGGCCGTAACTATGTCAGCATACACTGTGCATCAATCCAATGTATCTTCAGAGTTAGTTAGTCCTAAAGTTTCCCCAAAAGTATGGGTATAAAGTGGTTTTAGTCCAGTTAACTTCAAATTCCCAGCTTACTCCAGGAACTACCTTTATTATATGGTGTGGGTCTGGGTCACAGCTCTAGCTTTCACCATAACAGCAGGGACATAAAACAACAAACTTAAGAAAAGCTGCTGACTGGGCCTGAAGGGACTGCTCCCTGTAGTGTCAGCTGACCTGGAACTCACTATGGAGATCAGGCTGGACTTGAAATCACAGAGATCTGCCTGCCTCTGCCTCCCGAGTACTGGGATTAAAGATGTGCACCACCACGCCCAGCTAAAGGCAGTAACTCTTAAGACCTTAGAAAGTTAAAGGATCCAACAGGGTTTTATAATTTAAATTCGTAAACAGTTAAAAATTCAAACATACTGTAAGAAAATAAAAGGTCTTTTATGCTAAAGGGATACTATGCAAACCAAAATAGTTTATACTACTTATATCAATATTTATATTAATTTTATAATTATTTATATTAAAATGCTCATCTTTTCATATTCTGTCCATAGCATTTTTAACCAAATTAAATGAATCAGTACTGTCACACATGGTAGAAAGCGACCAAGATTTATACTTCACTTGGTATTTGAAATGCACTAAAACAACAGGATCAAACCCTCAGATTATGGTCCTGTTGGTGTGTAATGAAAACCAGGAAAGCCATTTAATAGGTTAGGAGGAAAAGTGTGTTTTAAAATGCTTTATTATTTTTATTTTATGTGTATGAGTGTACTGCCTGCATATGTGTAGATGCACCCATGTTGTGCCATGCCCACAGAGGTCAGGAGAGGATGTCGTATCCCCTGGAACTGGAGTTACAGATGGCTGCTAGCTGCTATGTGGGTGCTGGGAGAGGAAAAACATTTTGAGCTCTCAAATATTGTTTCTCGTGTTTTCATGACTTTCTTAGCCTCTTCCTACCTCTTAGGTCAGGGTTTGCCCACAGGGCTGTTTTAATCCACAGGTTTCACTACTGGGTACAGATTTCTATGCAATCTGTGGTCTACCAGAGAGGCCAGTGTTGCTCTACCACCTCAGCAAGAGTGCCTTGGTAAACCACCCCGGCCTTGCTGGCATCTGCACACACACACACCGAGGACGTATAGCCTGTGGTGGGAACAAGGCTGGTGTGTCTGACGTGGTTCACAAGGCACACAAACAAGCAGCTCGCAGGACTGAGATGTCTGCACATCAGCCTCCTTAAGTCTCACGTAGAACGCACAAGATCCTCGCTTCAAGAGGCAGTGGTTACCGCATGTCAGGCTGCTGTGACCTCCTGGAGCTAGGTGCTCAGTGCGGCACTGAACCACTTCTTCCGTGCAGGCAGCTCAGGTGCATTCTAACCAAGCTCCCCATTCCTCAAACACCCAGCAGAACAGCTGGCACCCGGGGATTGTTCATCAGTCTTAGTTCTGGTGAGCCTATTTTATCACTGAAATTGAAATGAACCCACCTCCTTCTGCTACCTCTGATCGCTCCACCTCTAGCTTCTGAGTCACCACTGCCTTGAAGAACAGGTGGTTTCTGTCCATCCCTGTCCGAGTTTTCCATCGTTTCTGACTCCAAAACTGCAAGGCAAGCTGAGACCCTGGGACCTGCCCGCTGCCCGCCTCGGGCCAGCCATTCTTGCCGTTCTGCATACTCCCCGTTCCCCGAGCTCACTGCTCCCTAGCAGGCCGCTGCTCCCCACGTCTGTGCCCCACACCCACAGCACTCTCCCCACCACATGCTGTTCTCAGATGAGGAACTCCCTATTTTCTTCCGAAAGCCCACTCACATCTTACTCCTTTCAAAAGGACTTGGATAGAGTAAGCTGGAGGCTCTTTTGTTTACCTCCCCGCCCCCAGCATCCTACAGATTCATATTCTAGGACTTAGGCCATCAATCTAAGCAGCTGGTCCACATGTCCTTCTTATGTGAGTTCGTGGGGACTTTGAGTCTTGTCCCTTAGTTCATTCCAACCTGAATGCCAAGCACATTTCTCAATGTGCATGTTTGCTGAGTGATCAAATGAACAATTCTTGATACAAATGACTCTAGTCAGAATGGACAAAACTGTTCAAAAGGCAAAAGTATTGAGCTGAGGATGAAAATCAGCAGTAGGGCGCTTGTGCGTGTGTGCAAGGCCTTAAGCACTACAGAAAAAATGGAGAAAGATAAAAAGGTGCATCCAAGGGTGCAGAATTCATCTACACATTCAGTGTTCTTCCTTACACACAACAGTCTCCACTAAACTATGCATTAGGCATTAGGACCCTGAGTACAGCAGGGGTGGGAGATGACAGTGGAGGTCTTGAGGACTGTTAGGCTCTAGTGGAGACAGTCTATCTATCACACACACTGCTGAAGAGCGTGAAGGGAAGCGCAGGGTACGAGGAATCTACAAGTGGTGAGATCAGTTAGCTGCAGTTAAGCCCAGTTCAAAGGCAGCACAGTCAAAGGAAGTATGAAGGTTCTGGGTGGGCAGAGGGGCAGCCGCACAGTTGCAAAGCAGAGCCTGGGGCAAGCTGCGGCAGGGACAAGGACAGATGGCCTCCGAGCTCAGCTACGTAGAGCTGAGGTCAGGAAAGCATTTCTGTGGCTCAGAACAGAGCACATGCTTGAAGGGACGCGGCTGGAGGCCGGTCGGGTCATTCATGCTGTCATTAGGGCTACTGCTTGCCTCCTGGTACGCTGGGTCTTCTCGATTGGACTTTTATGTTTGTTCAGTTCAGACACCACTCAATACAGTTTGAAAGTAGCAAAATGCAGTCAGTCTTGATGACCCTGGAGGAGAACAGTCTCCTGAAGCTGTGAGAGCAGGCTGCTTGTTAGGCACCATGTGGGCTGCCACTGAGCACAGGGTGCTGGGAGCTCGGGGGGCCAGGAACTGGCCTACTATCATCAGAGCTGGCAAACTGACTTCAGTGGCTCTGGTTTTCTAGCTCTCTAGAAGATCCTAGTATTTTTGTTGATTTGACACTAAATTCTAGAGCCAGAAACAGATTCCCTCAACTTAAAATATGGTTTCCTACTCTCCAGCATACCAAGGCATGTCTTGAGTGGGTGTTTTCTGTTTAATGGCCTTTGCATCTCATTCACACCTCTGACCTCCTACCACACATCCTTTCTGACCATGATGCTCTCTTTGGAAAGCTCAAAGCAGGCCATGTACTCCGGCTGTCCCCAGTTTCCAGCTCAGATGCCACCTGCTTGGTGAGCTCTGCCCAGCTCCCACAGACAGAGCTAATTACCTCCCTGTTTCCACAGCAATGCACTGCTATCCTTATTATAGCACTCTGCATGCTGGTTAGGATGGCTGTTTGTGTGTGGGTTTCCCTGTCAGATGGTAGGTAGGACAGGATTCGAATCTCCACCTCTTCATGGAGTTGAGAACAAGGCCTGGGCCTGGCAGGCATTCACATATGTTCGCTGATGAACAAATGAGTGTGAATGACAGAGAAGAGTGAGCCCGGGCCGCCCTGCTCTGCGGCACTCTGCACCTTCTCTGGTTCAGCAAGCGCACACTAGTTCCTGAGGAAGGAAAACTTCTAGTCTGTCCTGCACTCTGCATTAAAAGGACTTTTAGGCTAAGGAATGTCTTCCGGAAGGTGCTCATCCTCCACCAGCTGTATAACCATTACAGACACACACGCCTTGCAATTCTGCTGTTTTATTTTTATGCACTTGTTTAGCTAAATAAAAATATTTGCAAAATTCCAAGTTTAATAATCACACAACCTATTCTCCATTCAATACAAAAGGACCCCTGTCAGAGCAGGACTGACCAAGATGAAGTGGAAGGCGGAGGACGAGGCAGACCTCAACAGACTCTTTTTTATCAGAGTCAGAAAGAGGGGAACCATTTCTCCGCAGGACTGAAACCGGGCACTGAGGCACAGTTGGTGTGGGTTTACACTGAGGCACGGTTGGTGTGGGCTTATAAGGGTTTAGAAAAGGGAAATGGAGGTTATTTTTGCAGTTCTGCTGTCTGTGGTTTGAGGCCTGAGGCAATGTGAGTGATGGTGTCAGGGTCTGGAGGTGGAGGCAGTGAGGGCTGGCGTGTGTTCTCCAGATCACAGTCTGTAGGCTGGGGGTTCTCAGTAGCTCGGGTCTGAGGTCTGGACCTGAGGCTCATGTCATCTCAGGGAGCTGAAGTCAGAAAGGCCCAACAATCTTCCTGTCTCTGCTTCACTTGAAGCTGAGGCTATGAAAATGTGTGGGACACGCATCTTGCTGTGTGGGTGCTGAGAACCCAACTCTGGTCCTCATGAAGTTCTCCTAACTGTTGAGTCACCTCTGCAGTGCCCATGAGATGTATTTAAACTGGACACTTGAATGGGTGAGTATGAGTTAAGTTTAGGAATAAAAACTTATGATTGAATTCAAGAAAGAAAGCACCCTTACTTCTGTCTCTCTGCACTCAGGTCAGTACCTCCCTGGCAGGTGCTCGTGAACACTGCACCTTTGTCCTGTGACTCGCTGTTTTAATCTATCTAATGCTTTATAAGTGAATAACATCCCACTCAAATACTTTAGTAAGTTAATTTAAAACTTCCCTATGAGTTATCAACTCCTATGAAAAAAAATCTATCAATATATAGCTGGGGGGGTGGGAGGGTAGGGAGATGGTTCAAGTGGGCAGAGGCACTTGCTAAGCAAGCCCGCCAACCTGAGTTCGATCCCTAGAACCCATGTAAAGGTGGAAGGAGAGAACCAACTCCATGAAGTTGTCCTCTGATCACACACACACACACCACAACATGTGCACCTGCCCCAAGTCCCCAGCATTAATAAGACTAAAAAGGTATGGAATGATGTACTGCTGTCTCTTGAGTACTGCTGAGATTATTTGTCCTGTTTTTAAGGAATAGGGGGTTTAAAAGCAATGCTCTTACATCGGGAAACGTGATCAAACTGTGCAGCCTAGTGTAAGTTAACAGGAACGGCGCAGCCTCCATCTTTCCTTCCTTCCTTTCTTTTTAGGGCACAGAGAAGGAATGACCAACGTGCAGCTCAAGCCGATTCTAGGTGCACAGAGTCAGTGAGGTGGTCACTTGCTGGACTTTGAGCTAAGCCCATTACATGCCTAGCACCCAGCAGTACACATGTGACGGAATGAAATGACTGCGTGCTCACAGTTATGCAAAAGACAGCCACGAAGGAAATTGGTACAAAAGTTAAATTCAGCCTCTGTGACAGCAATGGGTATTTCTGTGATATAAATCCAAGAATCTTCATTGTACTTCTGAACCTGGGAACAGGTTTTCCTTTTCCAAGTTAAAGAATTACCAAAAACAACTACCTTAAGTCTTCACGTTATACACAACCAGAAAATGAAAGCAATCTGTATCTGTTTACGCAATGACACAAATTTTGAGCAGTTTCATGCATTAAATTACCATGTTCCAGTCTGTTTCAACTTTCCTGAATATGGACTCCACTCTCCACACGCCATTTTCCCATCCAGAGATGGTTTCGTTATTGCTTGAAGCGCGGACATAGTGATCCTTCACGATATTGTAGCAGAGGTGGAGTCGCCTAGAAAGCTTCTCATCTTCAGAGGGAATGAACAGGGTTTCCTTTCTCTTAAAAGGAAGCAAAATTCGATGTTCAGCGTAATGGAAGATATGAAAAATAACAGGTAATACCATGTATAGGAGTAACAACTTGAAAAGGAAAAAATACTATGGCAGAGGGAAATTCAGAAGATAGCCCCCAGGGCACACGCCACCTCCAACACAGACACACCAGGCACTGCAGGGAGAGGACAGGAGTTTGGACTAAACTTTGCCTCACTTCTGTCACACCACCTGGATGCACGCTCACTCCTGCCACCTCACCTGGATGCACGCTCATTCCTGCCACCGCACCTGGAAGCACACTCACTCCTGCCACCTCACCTGGATGCACGCTCATTCCTGCCACCTCACCTGGATGCACGCTCACTTCTGCCACCCCACCTGGATGCACGCTCACGCCTGCCCCTGGCTCTCAACCCTCCCTTTGCTATGACAACCATCGAAAATCCACAGGATGCATCTCTCCCCCACCTTCACGAATCTACTTTTTCAGACAGGGTCTCACCATGTGACCCAGGCTGGCACTGAACCCACGATGCTCTGTCTCCTCGTCCTGCACTCCAGATGACAGGCCTGTGCCAGTGCACCCAACTGATCCAGATGTGCCACTTCTCTGACTCGTAGCGCTTCCCTGAGGCTCACAGGCCCTAGATGACTGGTGATGGTGCTCCCCCATGGGGGTCTCAATGCTGCGTCTCCCTTTGCTCTCTGCGCCCACCATGTTACTTTTCCTTTAATTCCCCCAAAGGGACAGCTGGTTCTGGCCTCACGGCCCTGACCGCACTGCCTCTGTCTAGAATCCCAGAGACCTGACTTTCTCTTCCTTTGGGCCTCAAGCTAAAGCCAGTCCACTGAATGTGCTTTCTGGATACACTAAGCTAGAGGAGCATTTGAGAAGTGTCTTCTCATGTACAAATCACTACAAATGCTCATGATTTAGCTTAAAATTCTAGATAATTTTCATATTCTTGTCCAAAGTCAATCCATACTTTAGAAGAAAATAATCCCTTCTTCCTGAAATCAGTGAACAAATCAAACATTGGAAAGAGAAGATTGTTTCTCCTGTGTCTGCATGTACTGACTTGGGGCTTGTCCTGAATTCTCAGTTGGATGATCCTTCTTCATAGTAGGTGCTGTCTTGTAGAGGGCAGGCTGTTAAGCCCCTAGGTGTCAGGAGCATCCTCCCCTCAAGTGTGACAAATGAAATGCCTAAGGACATTGGCAAGGACTACCAGAAGTCAAAAGCATCCACTGGTGCTTGACACAGTGGTCTGTGTCAATACCTTGCTGCAGGATTTACTAGTTTATCAGGATAGGAGGTGTGCTTCTGTGTTAAGCTGTAGTTCTTGATATTAAGAAATATTAAAAACCTCAAAAGTACAGGAAGCAACAAACACTATAGACTAACACAAAAATATATCCCTGTCAATATTTTTTATTTTTTGATTGATTTATTTTTATTTTACCTGCATGAGTGTTTTGTCTGCATGTAAGTGCATCATGTGCATGCAATAAATAACCTTGGAGGCCAGAGAAGGGCATTGGATCCCCTGAAACTGGAGTTCCAATAGTTGTCAGCTGGAACGTGGGTGCTGCCAACCCGAGCAGAACCAAACCTGGGTCCCCTGTAAGAACAGCCAGTGCTCTTAATTGCTGCGCCTTATCTCAACTGCTTCTCTTTGTCAGCACTTTAAAACAGCAACACTGGGGCTGGAAAGATCTTAAATACCTTCCCAGCACCCACATGGTGGCTAACACTCATCAGTAACTCCAGTTCCAGGGAATCTGATGTCCTCTTCTGGCCTCTTCAGGCACTGCACAACACAGATGCATTTAAATATATGGAGGCAAAATATTCAGACATATAAAATATCAAATAGCAACATTAAGCTGGGGTGGTGGTGGCAGTGCATGCGATCCCAGTGCTAGAGAGGCTGAGGCAGGAGGACTAAGTTCGAGGCCGACCTAGACTGCACTGCAAGGCCTTGTCTCGAATAAACAATAAAAACTTACAAGTATGTAAGTATGTAACAATAAAACATTACAAGTATGAAGGAGAAAGTAATTCTTGAGTAGAACTTGTATATACTGTGGTCAGAAGATAAACATAAGCAATTTACTACTATTTTTAGAAACTGATTTTAGGGGCTGGAGAGATAGCTCAGCGGTTAAGAGCAATGACTGCTCTTGCAGAGGACCTGGGTTCGATTCCAGAATCCATATGGTGGCTAACAACCACCCATAACTCCAGTTCTAGGGGATCCAACTCCCTCTGAACTCTGCGGGCACTGTACAGACATGGGTGCACTCACATACATGCAGGCAATACACTCAGACACATAAAATAAAAATAATAAAAAGTTAAGAAATTGATTTTAATAAGCACATAACATTTCCCAGCTTCCTTTCTTCCCTCCCTCCCTTTCGTTTTTGTGGTACCAGGGACCCAGGCCCTTGAGGAATGCTAGGCAAACTTTCTACATCCCCACATCCTCTTCTTTGATACAAAGATATTTCAGAAAAGGGAATATTTAAAACAAAGGATAAGAAAGAAAAGACAAATGTATATATACATTACTGAACATTATTTAAATGAGCAATGCAATGTGCAGTAAAATTAACATTTCATAAAAGTGTTTTTAGGATCAGGCCAGTCTCATACTCAAGGTCTTCCTGCCTCCGCCTCCCCAGTGCTCAGACTACAGGCGCATGTCATCGTTTCTGGCATGATAGAATGATTTTAATCTAAGATAAAACTTTCTGGAAACAATATCAGCAATGTTTCCTTCTTCTTCCAGATTCAGTGCCAAATATTTTTAGGATTAATGTGCTTTCTACTTACTTTCAGGACACCCATTTATAATGGGGAGATGGTTTCTTTTTAGATCCACAGCACTAAGATGTTCTCTGGTAACTAAGAAACTCTCAAAATTTTCAAAAGGGAAAATAATCCGGGCATATGACCCAATTCATATTTTTAAAGTTTAATCAGCTTACATGCCACGTAAGAGGAAGCACGCTCATCCATAAAAAGAAAGAGAAACGAAGCCCTAAATAACACCCGTGTTTTCAGCTGAGCACAGCTGTGAAGTAAATGACTCTTTTAAACGGCTTCATCCAGATTCATAGCCCTAATTTGCACTGCATCAGCAGTGATTGGAACTATCTGTTGAGCTTGGCTTTTGTAATTCTCTGGCTGAAGCAACATTTCTAACAGCTTGCCACAGATGATGGGATAAATTAAAGAGCAAACATAAAACTTATTGGGGATAATTCACTCCTTTTGGACATATGAGAAATGAGTTACAACAATGGCAAATTTAGACAAAGGTGATATAAAGCTAATTTGTTCAGAACGGTCTGATCCCAATGTCTCTTTCCTTTCTAGCATTTTCCATTGTGTACCTCAGATTCATGGATGTGTGCTGAATAGTCCAACAGTTCTACTTTACACTCCCTAGGAAGAGTCAGTCTAACCTTCTAATGTATCCTAGTGCTCACAGAACCCTGCTGACTTTCACTTGGCCCCTAACTACAGAAAATAGGTTCCACTGTTAATCATTTAATTCCTGAAGATAAAAAAGTGCTAATACCACTCCCCCAAGTACTGGGGACTGAACTTGGGGCAGGCAGCACACGTGCTGGCAGGTGCCCAGCCACTGAGCTTCACCCTCGTCTTTTCCTTTTCACTTTGAGGCAGGGCTTCACTACACAGCCAGCGACACTGAACTTGTGACCCTCCTGCTCCAGCCTCCCCAGTGCCTGGGACTACAGGCAGCGAGAAGCCACATCAGAATTCTTACAGCCTCGATAAAAACAATTTTTAAGGCCTTAAGCATCAAAACAGTATATTATTAGAAATATGTCTAGTTTTAGATTTAAATGTAAAAGAAAAGCAAGATTCAAATCTTTCTCCATGCTTTAAACCCTCCTATGGCTCAGCCACAGAACCTCCCAGAAGGAAAACTCCACTAGTTGGGTCAATAGGTTTCTGTTTGTTGAGAGTGTAGTACAGGAAACAGAGAGTTGATCACTCAGCTGGAATAAATACCTCCAGGCCCATTTCACCTCGGGCCACTCTCCAGGCCACTGACCCAGACACTCTTCCACCAAGTTCCCCAGGTTTAGGGGTTTTGGGAGATATAAATTCGACAAGCTCAACAATTATCCTCTGGAGAAGTTCTTTTCTTCTGTTTTCTGACAAAGACAGCTGCCTCTGTAATTAATGGTTAAAAATGTGTTATAGTTAGGGAAATAGAAATTTACCTCTAAGCAAAATAAAAACATTTATATTTTCAGAAGTCTTGAAAGAAATAACCCATTTTATTTTCATACATATACTACTTGGAAAATTCAAAACATTATGACAAGCTTAATTTTAAATCATGCAGCACCTCTGCCCAATTCTCCATGACCTGGATTATTGTAGATTTAGACCGACCACACACACACACACACACACACACACACACACACACACACACGCATGGTTTGGATGCATGCAACAGAAAAGTACCAAGGAAACAGAGTGGGAAGTCAAGATTCTACAGGAGAGATGAATGAGCTGAAGGGAAGATCCTGTGCCCCTTTCCCTCCCTGGTATGTGTCAGTCATTAGGGGCACGAGAGGAGGAGGGAAGCCAGGCAGAAATCAAGAGATTGAATCACTGACAGGCTAGTCAGAATTCCCAGCCGAGTCAAAGGCAGGGAAAGCAAACTGAAGACAGCGTGTTCCAGCAAGGGCCTCCGGGCCGCCAGGTGAGGGACAGCAGAGCACGTCCCAAATAGGCTGAGACCCACATCGCATGTCAAACACAAACCACATTAAGGCCGTATCCTTGTTACCAGCCAGAACAAAATCAGCTATTTTATAAAGTAGGAAAAAAATGACGCTTGTAAACAAACACTTTAATCCTAGCAAAGGATATAAATGACCCATTTCAGACTCCAGTCCATCCTCTCCTAAGTAGCCACTGTAATAATTTCCTGTGCCTTATATGGGTGCCATTATATTCAAGATATAGTGAGTTTGTTTGAGACAGGGTCTCACTATGTAGCTCAAGATAGCCTTCAACTCCTTCTGCCTAAGCCTCTCAAGTGCTAGAATTACAGGTATTCCCTAACAGGCCTGGCAGCCACATACTTTGTGTGTACACATGTGTGCTTGCCATGTGTGCAAGTGAGGAGGCCAGAGGTTGGTATGGGTTATCTTCCTCTATCTCTCTCCCTCTTACTGGAAACAGGGTTTCTCACTGACCCTTCCTTACCTTGGCTAGCTGGCTGGCAAGCCCCTGAGATCTCCCTGTCTCTGCTGTCAAACACTGGGGTTACAGGTGCAGTCCACCCCACCTGGCTTTTACATGGGTTCTGAGGATTTGAACTCAGGTCCTTGTGCTCACACAGCAAGCACTTTACCCACTGAGCCATCTCCCCAGCCCACAGCCATGTTTTTTATGCAACTACTACAAATACTGAAATGTTATTCCACTGAACTTTTAGAAGGGCTATGACATTTAATCTAAAACTACCTCATAATATTTAAATGAGTTCTGAAAATTTTCAATTAATAAAAAGACACAGAATTACTGTTATTCTTTGTTTCTTTCATGTCAGGCAGGGTCTCCCTCTGGCCCCAGCTGGCCTGGAACTCACTACAGAGATCAGGCTGGCCTCAGCCTCAGAGATCTTCCTGCCTCTGCAACCCTAGTGTCAGGATTAAGGTGTGTGCCACCACGCCTGGATATTAAACTATTCTTGATAGACAAATGTTACTCTTTTAGAAATTTCAAATGGGAGCTAGGGATGTAGCTCAGTTGGTAGATTGTTTGCCTAGCATCTGTAAAGCTCTGAGTTTTAGCCCCTGCATGACATAAAACTAGGTGTGTTACAAACCTATAATCCTAGCACTTGAGGCCAAGGTTACATGAGACTCTGTTTCAAAAACAAACCAGCAAGCAAACAACTCAATGTGTTAAAAATTGGTCACTCTTGGTTATCCATCAGAACTTGAGAGAAAGACCCTACGGCAGAAGACACTACAGGCATGAGCTGTAGAACAAGCAGGTTCTGACTTTAGAGCCTCATCTCTACTGGCTAGCTTTTGTGGTGCTGGAAGATGCTATGTATGATACTGTTAGGGTCCTTGACTCGGTGGGTCTCTTCTGGAGAACAAATGCACGAGTATGGAGATGCAAAAATCAAGCAGAGTTTTATTAAACCAGCTAGCTGGGGCCGACCGTCCTTCCAAGACACACAGGTCTGGTTAGAGCGATCAACCCTGAGGCAATTTCAGGTAAAGATTATATAGGCTCCCACAACCGTTACACAAAAGCCCGCGTTTATACAACCAATAGTTTCAAAGCAAGCATTTCACAAACCAATAACTTCAAGAAAAATGCTACAACTCCCTTCAGGTGTCCCAATCGGGGAGGGATGGGTGGTTGTGCCTGGCACAGCCCTTCCTTGTTATCTTGTGTAAGCAGACATGCCTACGGTCATGACACAGACCAGACAGGTCAGGTTACGGGGGCTGTAGTACTTTCCCCTATCTCCGGGTGCCTGTGTCTCCAGTTGAGTTAATTGGTTACAAGCAGTAAATTCAAACAAGTAAATTTAAGCAGTAAATTCAGACAAGCAGTAAACTCAAACAAGTAGTAAATTCCTCTTTCCCTAACACTACCTGAAGAGAGGAGTGATCATCGACTTTCCCCAGCTGTGAATTCTGAGAGCTACAATTGGCCTGGCAAGATAGGCTGACTGGCACAGTGGGGGTGTGAATGGTATGGGAATAACCAATCCCTTGGATTTGAGGGCCACTTCACAAGATGAAGGCCATACCTGACACTAATTATCAGGCCTAGGAACCTGTGGCTAGACCAGTCACAGGCCATAGGGGAGAGCCTACTATGTTATTCTATTAAAAAGATATAATGTTAAACCAACTCCTAATGACTTATTGTTATAGATTAATGAATCTCTTAACTCTCAGAAGAGAAGCTGCTTCTTGCAGCACATGTTGATTAACACAGAGACCCACAAGTGGTCAATGTGCAGAATGTAGGGGACTGCAGAGTGCTTATCCCTGAAGAGGACACCTATATCAAGCTTCTGCCTCACAAGGCTCAGGGATCATTGCAACAGATGGGGCAGAATGATTGTAAGAGCCAGAGGTGGTGGATGACCACAAGGGAACAGTTTTCCAGAAGGCTAGTCAGTTACTCATATGACCTCTCAGCAATGGTGACAGCATGCACAAGTCCTATGTAAGTTCAAGTCAGACACAATCCCAGCACGGACATGGGGAAGTGGATAGAAACCCCAACCCTAGCTGAGGAACTACTGGCAACTGACAGCTGCTGGGAGGAGCAGAGTCAGTCTTCTTTAAGGGAGTGATCCTGAGCAGGTCAGCCAGGCTCCAGTGGACAGACCCACACTGATGAGCAGAGGGTGGTACAGGGGAATGTAGATACAGGCAGAGGTCTACATATGATAAAAGTTGGGACTGGAGAGATAGCTCAGCAGTTAAGAACACTGGTTGTTCTTGCAGAAGACCCAGGTTCGAATCCCAGCACCCACATGGCAGCTAACAACTGTCCCAGGGGATCCAACAGCCTCTTCTGACCTCCTTGGGCATTGCACGACACGGGTGTACTTACCTATATGCAGGCAATACACACATACACATAAAATAAAAAAATAAAATAAAATTCTAAATATGATAAAAGCATACTGTATAAATAAAATTAATTTTTTAAAAATGGCCATTCCATGCCAGACATGGTGGTGCATGGCTTTCGTCCCAGCACTTGGGAGGTAGAGGCAGGCAGATATCTGTGAGTTTGAGGCCAGCTTGTCTCTAAAAAAAAACAACAACAAAAAAACCCAAAACAACAAAAAAACCCTGGCCATTCCTGGTTATATGTAAAGTTTCAAATGTCCTCTTTTAAACAACAGCCATCCCATACCTGCTTATTAAGCCCATTAATTGTTTCTCGAAGTAATTCTTCTTTAACCTTGGTTCTCCTGGAGATTACTTCATCATGTTTGCAAGAGTATCGCCAAGTGACATCAACTACCTGGAACAGATTACAGAGCACAGCTAATTAACAATATTACATCAGCTGTTATTTTATAAATACCTACAATGCACAGAACTCTTAAATGCAACTTTGAAACTGCCGCCCTTTGTTAAAATTTAAAAGTCAGGGTTGTGGGGGTAGGTCAATTAAAAAAAAAGTCAAGCATGGCTGCATGCCAGTCCTCAGAGGCTGAGGCAGGACTGAGAATTCAAGGAGGCTGAGGCAGGACCGAGAATTCAAGGCCAGCTGGCTGTACAGTGAAACCTGGTCAGAGAAAGACGCCGAAGTGAATGTGCATTACACTTTTTTCCAACATGCACACCGATGAAAAACGTGCTGAGTGAAAGGATAAAGCTTTCCAAATGTTGGCTTTAAAATTATTTATTTTTATTCTATGTGTCTGTTTTTTCTGCAGGTATGTATGTAGCTGTACCATGTGTGTGCCTGGTGACCTAGAAGGCCAGAAGAGGGGGCTGGATCCCCTTGACCTAGAGTTAAGGAGGGGTATTACCCACCATGTGGGTGCTGGGAGCCAAACCCAGATCCTTAGCAAAAGCAGCCAGTGCTCTTAACACTGAGCCAGCTCTCCAGCCCCGAATGTTTGCGTCCTATAGTTTAAGGCTGACTGCACAGATGAGCGTCATTCTTCTGTCCTTGCTATACTGCAAACTGCAGAACTGACTGCTGACGAGCAGGACTATGGGAGGAAAGAGCACCCTTCTCAGTAAACCACACCAGGACAGCGCATGGTCCAGATGCTGAAAAGAACCTCAGCAAAACAGACTAGAATGGGTCAGTCTTACACTAACGTACAACTAAAAATACAGGGGGTCACAGTCACAAGGTGGGCAAAGCGTCCTTACACAACATGAAAAGCAGAATCTGTGAGAGAACAAATTGGTAAACTAGACTTGTGATTTCTTCTCTCACGTCATTCAGGACATAAAAGGCAAACCTTTACAACACAGGTATCTAAGAAACAATTTACGTAAGAATCACAGGAACCGACAGATCTCAACAGCAAGAAGACACACAGAGTGGAGAGACAGGCAGAGGAAGGTGAGAGCTGGACACAGCTTATGTCGAGAGTGAAGCACACGCAGAAATCACGACGGACAACTCTGCTCCCCCTCAACTGAGCACAAAAATACTCCAAACACTGGAGAGGATGTGAAGAGACTGGGAACCCTCACATCCCGCTGAGGAGAATGCAAAATGGTGCAGCCCCTTTGAAAAACAACCTAGCCGTCTCCCAGAAAAACACCCCGCCATGCCACTCCTAGGCACTAAGCAAAGAGAAAGACCAGGAATGCACCTGAGTGCTTGGGTCACTCCATAACAAGCCATGGTGTGTCCAGAGAGTAGAAACCTGATTACAGTAATGAGCTTACAGTGTACATGAGTGACACATGCTGAACAGTACATGGAAATATGTGCAGCTCGTATGCCAAATGTACCTTAAAACAACTCCGGTTTGGGGCTGGAGAGATGGCTCAGCAGTTAAGAGCAGTGCCTGTTCTCACAGAGGACCCGGGTTCGATTCCCAGCACCCACATGGGGGCTAACAACTGTCTGCAACTCTAGTTCCAGGGGATCCAACATCCTCTTCTGACTTCTGTGGGCACTGCACTACACGGGTGCACTTACACACGCAGGCAATATACTCGTACACATAAAAACAATAAAGTATTTTCACAATCCTGGCTTCTTCTTATTAAAAACAACAAAGTATTTTCACAATCCTGGCTTCTTCTTATTAAAAACAACAAAGCAGTTTCACAATCCTGGCTTCTTCTTATTAAAAACAACAAAGTAGTTTCACAATCCTGGCTTCTTCTTATTAAAAACAACAAAGTATTTTCACAATCCTGGGTTCTTCTTGGAGCCGTGTGCTATGCCTACCTCGTCTTTAGAGAATGCGATGATGTAGGAAAGCTTCTTGCCCCATCCGATTTCATAAAGCAGAGGCTTGTCACACACATCCTCACACGCGTCGCAGTGCAGCCAGCGCTGCTGAGAAGGGGAGTAAACCTCTGTCCAAACATGGTCTACTCGGGTGGGACAGGAAGAAAGGGAAATAAAGTCAGGGTTATAAAACCAGAACGACTTCTGAAAGCCATAGGTAAACCCTAAGAATCACAAAGTAATTTATAATATTCCTGTTTTAGTTAACCACTATGAGCATTCTGTGGCACACACATTTCTAAAATCTTCGTTCTACCCTCTCTTTGAAATTCCTTAAATTGTAGTCATCTTTAGACTTAAAGGTAAAGTCTGCTATAGCTCTAAAGAAGGAAAGCCCTTGCATAGGAGCCCCAGAACCACCAGCTGTGACAGCTGGAAGGGCAGTCTCCCTCTGACCCTAGGGCATTGGGTTATTCACACTCTATATTTGGTTTCTGAGGTAGATTCTTGCTATGAAGCCCAAGCCTTAGTCTGGCCTCAGCCTCTCAAGTGCTGGGACTCCAGGCGTGTTACCATGCCTGCTTGCTGTGTGAGTTTCCAAGAGAAGAGTGGGCCATTAGCTGAAGATTCCACCTAATTCTAAAACAGTGGAAACACAAGCAATACTTTAGAACAAGAAAATGACATTTTAGCTTGCAGACAGCAGAAGTCATTTCTAAATGAAGACAAAGTCAAACAACAAGGTTTTGCTTAGACTCTCTGTATATACCTCAGTGTAAGCTTCCTAGGTTACTACAGTCACCCCTCTACACATGAAGATTTCTACAGACTTATACCCACGCTGCTATCTGCACAGAACAGCACTACTATGAAATCAAGGTCAAAGGTCAGAAAGGTGGGCAAGCACAAGAAACCAGGCTAAGTGCATGACACAGTCTTGCCAGTCCCTGACCCATGAGGGTGGTACTGCTGTTATTGCACAGAAGGTAAACAGAGGCTCAGGCTGACGTGGGAGTTGGGAAGCAAGAGGGGCTTGGACTACAGAGCTTCCTCTTCTCTCCTACCACATGCTGTACCTGTGTAATCCCACACATAGCGAGCTTCAAACCCTAACGCACGGCAGCACAGTGTAAAACAATTGGCCCACTCGCCACAGCGTCCACATCTCGTTTCCAAAAGTTTCTCAGGGTTGTTATATCTGGTTTAAAAAACAACAAAGACAACAGCTATGATTCATGATCAAAATCTAGCCTTTAAAGAATATTACCTGCACACTGAACATTAATCATGTTTCTTAATTTCTTATTTTAGAATATTGATTAAAGAGCCTCGTCTACACCACACGCCATGCTCGGGTCTTGGTGAGAAGGGATTAAACAGTGGAACTGTCTGAGGGATGAGCACAAGTAATCTCACGGTGTTCACTCAGCTTTAGTTTACACACCCGAAGGCCAGCACTGATCAATGATATCAAAGCCATCAAGCTCAGAAGCAGAGATGGAAGCACAGCACACCTCCGACTGTGTGTGGGAGAATGGTTGGAGAGGAGACTTTTACCATGATTGGTTTTTGAGAGATTAGATTCAGATGGGCAAATTTTCTAAGGAATGTAATTAGACATTAATTCTCCTCTCACAAGTGGCACGATTAGCTTACTGAGTTTAAAAGGTAATCAACTTTAACAAGCTACTCAATAAAGATTTTAGCTTAGGGGGTGGGGTGTTGCTCCATTGGTAGAGTGCTTGCTTAATATGCAAGAGGCCTTTGGCTCAATCCCAGCACTGCTGGCATGGTATTGCATAACTGTAATCCCAAAACTCAGGAGGTAGAAGCAAGAAGATCAGAAGTTTGATGTCAGCCTGTGCTACATGAGACTGTTTCAAAAAACAAAAAAAAAAGACAAAAAACACACAAACATCACCCCCCTCCACCCAAAAACCCCAAACCAAACAGATTAGTGGCTTCCTGGTTAAAAGCACTTTCCACATAAGCACGAGGACCTGAGTTCGGATTCCAGCAGTCATGTAAGAAGGTGGGTATGTGCATGCTTGTAGCCTGTGTGCTGCGGTGGGCAGGTAGAAGGGCTGCTGGACGCTAGCCTAGCACCAGGTTAGTGCAGGACTTCTGACATTCTCTGGCTTCCATGTATGCACACATACCCCACCCCCTGCCCGATTTTGGATTATTATAACTATTCTTCTTTCTTTTTTTTTATTATTTTTAGCTGGGCGTGGTGGCGCATGCCTTTAATCCCAGCACTCTGGAGGCAAAGGCAGGCGGATCTCTGTCAGTTCAAGGCCAGCCTGGTCTACATAGTGAGTTCCAGGACAGCTGGGGCTACAGGGAGACTCTGTCTCAAAAAGACCAAAAATAAATAAATAAATAAATAAATAATTTATTATTTTTATTTTATGTGTACGCGTGTTTTGCCTGCATGTAAGTAAGTGCACCCGTAAGGACAGAAGAGGCTGTCGGATTTCCTGGAACTGGAGTTACATACAGCTGTTAGCTGCCATGTGGGTGCTGGAATTCGAACCCGGGTCTTCTCTAAGAAGGGTCAGTGTTCTTAACCACGGATCCATTTCTCCAGCCCCTATAACTCTATTTTGCCAATGATGATTTTAATTAAAGTTTTATTCTTTGGACACATAATTTGGAAGCTCTTTTCCAAGATGTCTGTAGCAACCCTGTGTGCCGCACTGGGCCAAGCCAGGCCCAGCTGACAAGGAGGCCAACCCCGGGAAGAAGAAGTCAGCTCTGCAATGGCAGGCTCATTGAAACGTGCTTGTGCTTAAGGTAATTTACAACTCTGTAACTGAAAAGAGACGTAAGCTTACATTAAGGCACACAACAAAATTAGAGTGTCCTATGCCTGCGTCAAATCAAACGGACTAGATTGAGTGGTATAGCTCAGCGATAAGCACTGGACTAGCAAGAGTGAGACCCGAAGTTCTGTCTCTAGTACTACAAAACAAAAACAAAGAAGTATTTATTATCCCATCCTTGCGACCAGCCCAGTCCACATGGTGCTACTAGTTTAAATTGGGCTGCCCTGAAGAAAACTTATGAGAGGGCCATTACAAGTATATGCTGAAGGGGAGATGGACACCAGTTCTGGACAACACTGGGTACTATATCCTGTTTATGCTACTTCCTGTGTAATGTACAGTTGGTTCCAAGTTAGGACAGACCTGAGTCCTGAAGCTCCACAAATCAGACTCTCAAACACATCATCTTTCCTTGCTAGGCAACAGAACAAACTTCCTAAGTATCACTGATCAGAAGAATCTATCAAGAGGCTTATAAACTAAAGACTGGAAAAAATGAACTGAAAAACTAGTTTCCCAAGTTTACAATGTAGATATGACTAGTTAGGCCTGGTGGTGCACACCTATAATCTCAGCATGAGGGATCACAGCTTGAGCTACGTAGCAAGATTCAGTCTCCAAAAAACAAACCAAAGAAACAAAAAACAATCAAAGCAAGACAAGAAAAAAAAATGCAGGGATTACATAAATATGAGAGGTTGGGATAGGGAAAGTTCTAGTAAAATGAATTTCTGCCTTTATAAGCTACTCTTACCCTATATATTTATCTGATGATTACTGTTACTAATATTGTCTCTGCTTATCAGTATTATCAGAAAATTGAAAATTATGTTTTAAAAGACCATAACACTGACAGAATTAAAATGCTATGAACATACTTAAAATTCACACTCTAGAACAGGAGTCAAGCTCTCCACAACAGGGGACAGTGGGCTGGGGACTCAGTCAGCAAGGTGCTTGCCTACCTGGTGTGCATGAAGCTAGGGGTTGGTGCCCCAGTACCAGACAAATCAAGTGTGGTGACACATGCTTGTATTCCCAGAACTCAGGAGGTAGAAGTTCCAGGCCAGCCTGGGCTACACGAGACCCTAATCTCCCCACACCCCAACTTAACCCAGAGAGAGAGAAGACAGTAAGTATTTCAGCAAGTCCTGCAGTCACCAGTACTGAACAGCTCTGTGGTCCCCTGAAGACTGTCATTGGCTGTACCAGTAAGTCAGCAAGGCTGTGCTCTAACAAAACTATTTACAGACAAAGATGTGGCTGGATCTAGTCTGCCAGCCTAGTTTGCACACCTCTTGAAGTAACAAGCTTAGTCAGAATGGAGGTCAGAAAGCTCAGTTGGGAACACATCCTGGCCAGCTACCCCACTAGGAGCCCACTTTGGAGAACATCCTGGCCAGCCACCCCATTAGGAACCCACCTTAGAGCACATCCCTGCCAGTCACCCTGCTAGGAGTCCACCTTGGAGCATGTCCAGCCAGCCACCCCACTAGGAGCCCACCTTGGAGCATGTCTGGCCAGCCACCCCACTAGGAGCCCACCTTGGAGCACGTCCCAGACAGCTACCCCACTAGGAGCCCACCTTGCCAGCCAACGGGCTAGGCCCACCTTGGAGCACGTCCCAGCCAGCTACCCCACTAGGAGCCCACCTTGGAGCATGTCTGGCCAGCCACCCCACTAGGAGCCCACCTTGGAGCACGTCCCAGCCAGCTACCCCACTAGGAGCCCACCTTGCCAGCCAACGGGCTAGGAGCCCACCTTGGAGCGTGTTCGGCCAGCCACCCTGCTAGGAGCCCACCTGGGGAAGCGGTTGCTTAGCTGGCAGGCATCACAGTAGTGGTCTTCCACGTTGCTGGCACCCCACTTCAGCTCAGCGTCATTGGGCAGCAGTGCTTTGTCTCTAGATCTAGTCTCTCCACCACATTTGCTGCACAAAATGTTATTCACCCAGCGAAAAAACTCCTCCTTAAACCAGTGTAAAAGCTCCAGCAGAAGAAAATCTTCGTCACTTACGTTAGTACCTGGCAAGGTGGGAGAGTCAAGTGAGCTTTAAAGCTGACAGAATCCAAAACATCCATACGATTTTATGCTCAGGTTGGGAACAGAAGTCTATGGTGTATGACAAAGGCTTTCACCAAGGAGATGCAAGGACAATGGTGAGGGAGCTGTGACTGAGGCAACAGTGACCTGGGCACTGCGTTCCCAGTAGGCAGGTGCTTAGCACTGCATCCTTCACGGCACCTACATGAGCAGGGCACGGGGAAGGAGGGTCAATCTGGAATGATCCATGAACCACGTGAGGGACAGAAATGTACTGACAATTTTGGAAAAGTTATTTTTTATATGTGTGAGTGTATCGTCTTCATGTATGTGAGGGCACCTGTGTCATGCAATGAGGTCAGAAAAGAGCTTTGGATTTCTCTGGAACTGGAGTTAAGGACGGTTCGTAGCCGCCATGTGGGTGCTGGGAATCAAACTCAGGTCCTCTGCAAGAGCAGTCAGTGCTCCTAACCGCTGAGCCATCTTTCCAGCCTGGAAAACATTTAAAAAAATATATATTTTATTTATTATTTTTATGTGTATGCGTGTTTTGCCTGCATGTAGGTAAGTGCACCTATGTAGTGCAGTGCCCGTGGAGGACAGAAGAGGCTGTTGGATCCCCTGGAACTGGAGTCATGGACAATTGTTAGCTGCCATGTGAGTGCTGGGATTCGAACCGGGGTCTTCTGCAAGAACTTCCAGTGTTCTCAACATCCCTCCAGCCCCTTGGAAAACATTTTTAAGAGGAGGGTACACTGGAGCTGGGGATGCAGCTTAGTAGCAGAGCACCTTTCTGGAATATGAAAGGTCCTGGGTTTTACCCCAAGGACCAACAAACAAAACATTAATAATAGCAACATTGAATCTACTACGGGGGATACACACAGATACACATGAAACAATAATTTAAAAAAAAAAAAAAACATAGATGGAAATCAGATAAAAACCAGGCTGTTAGCTTTTCAAAATTAGCGCTTCAATTGTGACATGATTTTCCATGGACACACATCCCCAAACACAAACACAGCCATGTCTACAGGGCATGTAACAGTCCAGCAAGAAGGCACACCACCAGGTAATGCACCCACCTTACCAACAACGTACCATCTCCTACCATATTCTTCCTTAAAAATTGCATTTACTGTGTGTGACGGTCGGAGGACAAGTTCTTCTGGGAAGCTGTTCTGCCGTGTGGGTCCCCAGGGCCTGAACTGGGTTGTCAGGTTTGGTGGCAAGTACTCTCACATGCTGAGCCATCTTGTCAGCCTCCCCTACCATACTTAAGACCATGTTTTCTCTGGGACTCAGGGAGGCACACACACGAGGCTCCCACCTCTCTTTTCTTATTTACTCATTGGGGGTGTGTGCTATGGCATGAATGTGAAGCCAGAGGACAACTTGCAGGAGTCAGCTCTCTCCATGTGGGTTCTGGGGATCAAACCCAGGTCACCAGACTTGGAGGCAAGCACCTTTGCCCACTGAGTCACCTCGCCATCTCTTATCTCTACTTCATGTTTTTTTTATTAGAAAAGACAAAAATAGGGGCCGGAGAGATGGCTCAGTGGATTAGAGTGTGTATTGCTCTTGCAGAGGACCGGAGTTTGGTTCCCAGCACCCATGTATGGTGGCTCACAACCACCTGTAACTCCAGATTCATGGGATCCAATGCCTCTGGCCCCCTTGGGCACCAACACATACCTCCACATACACATACTTAAAGATAACAAAATAGCCAGCGTGGTGGCGCACACCTTTAATCCCAGCACTTGGGAGGCAGATGCGGGTGGATCTCTGTGAGTTCAAGGCCAGCCTGATCTACATAGCTAGTTCCAGGACAATTGGGGCTACAGGGAGACACTGATAATTTAAAGACCAAAACAAAACAAAACAAAACAAAACAAAAACCCAACCAACCAAAAAAAACCAAAATAAATTTTTATAAAGAGACAAAAATGTAAGAAGGAAATATATGGCATAATGTTAAGATCTAATAGCATCTGATGTTAGTCAGAGGCATTTGGTATAGTACACAGTTGACTCTGAAGATACAGGGGCAAGGGGGACCTACGGGTGTGAGTGGGATATCTGCAAAATTGTTGTAAAAAAAATTTAAGCCTTTTGTTAACAGGTGATTTCAATTTATTGACTCTTAAAAATCAAGCTGTAAATTTACATTTAATTCTCAAAAATCTCATTTTGTTTAGATATGAAACAAAACCTTTAAAGGTGGCTGAGAAAAACCAAGTTTTAAGACAATAAGCACTTGTAATTGTCAAAAGGAGAGGTCTTTACAGGTGAAATTAATGTACTTGGCCATCAGCACCATCCATCACTCAGGTAAACAAAAATCAAGGACTCCACCTCCAGTAAACTTGTCCTCAAAGAAATAGTCCAAATTCATCAAGGAAAAAAAAAGAAATGAGGCAGGTCAGAAACTTGGCTCTACATCAAGAAATGAAGAGGCCAGGTGTAGTGGCATATGCCCTTAATTCCAGCACTCAGGAGGCAGAGGCAGACGGATCTCTGAGATGGAGGCCATCCTAGGCTACTCGGTGAGTTACAGGCCAGCTGGGGTTACAGGGAGACCCTGTCTCAAATTAAAAGAAAAAAAAAAAGGGGAATGAAGAGCATCAGGGAAAGAACAGATTAAACTAAACGAAACATTTGCTGTTCCCATTCTTACATGATCCGAAAGTAACTACAGTGAGGTGAAGAGTCATGCCATAATGCACAGAGCTGAACCATCTCAAGGGCGGCAGTCTATGGGAACCAGTAGCTCTTCTGAAGATAAGTTAGCTTAAATGGTTATTATAAGGCAGGGCAATAATTTTCTCCCAAATTAAACAGTGCCTTGAAAAATATGGTACCAAAAGGGCTGAAGAGATGGCTCAGCAGTTAAGAACACTGACTGTTCTTACAGAAGACCCGGGTTCGAACCCCAGCACCCACATGGCAGCTAACAACTGTCCATAACTCCAATTCCAGGGGATCCCACAGCCTCTTCTGTCCTCTGTGGGCACTGAAGGACATGGGTGCACTTACCTACATGCAGACATAACACTTATAAAATAAAAATGATAAAATATTTAAAAACAAAACAAAACATGGTACCAAGAAATAAGGGTAAAAACCCTTTACATTAAAAGAAGTAAAAATCCTGTGGATGGAGAGATGGCTCGGTGGTTAAACTGGCTGCTTTTTCAGAGGACCTGCTTTCAAATTTAGTACCCACATGGCGGCTAACAATCACCTGTAACTCCAATTCCAGAGGATCTGATGTGTGCTTCTGACCTCTGTGATCATTAAATGACAATGGTGCACTTACATACCTGCAAACAATACACTCATACTCATAAAATAAAAGTAACTTAAAAAATAGCCAGGCGTGGTGAAGCACGCCAGTAGTCCTAGCACTTGGGAGGCAGAGGTAGGTGGAACTCTGTGAGTTCAAGGCCAGCCTGGTCTACATAGTGAGTTCCAGGACAGCTGGGGCTATAGGGAGACACTGTCTCAAAAAGAGCAAAAATAATAATAATAATAAATAAAATAAAAAATAAAAATCCTATAGTCGCAGAGAATTGATGACTAGAATCCCAAGACTATTGATAAAAACGAACACTTATAAATAGGGCAGGCATTTTTCTGAGCTGTTTAAATTACTACCTCAGTTATTCTTAGTTATTATTCTTATTTTAAAATGTAGAAACTGAGGCAGAGAAGTTGCTTAGTGAAGCACATTAAGTAACAGCCCTGAACTTTAAAACATTTTCTTTTTTTATTGAATTTTTGCAATTTTCAGGCAATATAATTTAACGGTATTTAGATGTCCTCACCTGCAACCCGTCTTATTACCTCCTGTCCGATTGAATGTACTCTATTAAATACATATTAAGGCTATAAAGTCTAATTTGTGTCTCCAAATGTCCTTCAGTGTGGGAACCTGGTTAATCTACCAAGAGTCCCATCCTTGAAAGAGACTGTCTCTGCCCCTCCCAGGTGCGAAATGTTGCTAGTTTCCTTAGGTTGGGTTGGAGTTTCTTATCCCCTTCCTATGCTGGGATTTTGTCTGGTTTAAGCTTGCATGGGATTTGTGCATGCTGTCATCACTGCTGTGAATTCACATGAGTAACTGACTAGCTGTCTGGAAAACTCTGTTTCGTTGTGGTCATCTACCACCTCTGGAAGCTTTGAACTTATACAAAGCCAACTGTGAGGTTATTCTGTACCAACAAATAATGTCTAGTAACAAAAGTAATCAAACTGCACAATTAATTCCAAAAGTGGTTTTTGGTTTTTTTTTTTGTTCTTTTTTGAGACAGTGTCTCCCTGTAGTCCCAGCTGTCCTAGAACTCACTATGTAGACCAGGCTGGCCTCCAACTCACAGAAATCCACCTGCCTCTGCCTCCCAAGTGATGGGATTAAAGGCATGCACCACCACGCCTGGCTACATTATGACCTTTTACACTACAGCATGACTTACTGTGGTTGGTGCATTGCTGTGATGAAACAAAGTATGTCTAAAAGTTGAAATAGCCTGGCACTGTGGAGCACACCTTAATCTCAGCACTCAGGAGGCAGAGGCAGGTGGATCTCTTAGAGTTCGATGTTACCCTGGTCTACAGTGAGTTTGGGCCATCCAGGGCTATGTAGTGAGACCCTATCTCAAAAAATAAATTTAAAAAAAGTTAAAACCTATATTTGAAGTGGAGTTATCATATTATTTTCATTAAGCTAATCTTACATATTTTTAAAATGCTGCCTTTTAGGGGAAGAATAATAAAATTGACAAGTTTT